CATATACACCATGGAATACTACGCAGCCATAAAAAAACGATGAGTTCCTGTCCTTCATAGGGACATGGATGAATCTGGAAACCATCATTCTCAGCAAACTGGCACAAGAATAGAAAACCAAACACCACATGGTATCACTCATAGGCAGGTGTTGAACAATTAGAACACATGGACACAGGGAGGGGAGCATCACACACTGCAGACAGCAGGAGGTGGGGAGGGTGGGGAGGGATAACGTGGGGAGAAATACCAGATATAGTGATGGGGGGAGGAAGGCAGCAAACCACCTTGCCATGTATGTACCTATGCAATAATCCTGCATGATCTGCACATGTACCCCAGAACCTAAGGTACAATAAAAACAAAAAACAAACAAAAAAATTAAGCTACAAAAGTATGTCTATCAATATAAGCATGAATATGGAAATATATTCATTACATAATTGTTACAAAACATGTACACACACACATATGCCCCGAAAATCACCTAGAAAGATGTGGACTGGTGTTTAATACTGGATAGTGGAAAGATTTTAATATTAACTTTTATATTTTTTATGTTTTCACTATTTACATATTTTTCTACTATGATTATGTGTAACTTGCACAAGTTTTTAAAACCTTTAAAAAATGGATTTTTTCCATTTTACTTATTATATACTTTACATACTACCTATTTAATATAAAATGTACAACTGTTGGACTTATTTCAAATAAATGGAATTTATTTACATTATTACATATTCAGTGTAAGACAGAAAAGTATAATGCACTTAGTCTAGGAACCCAAGTTCTGATTTTGGCTCGGCCCGTTGCTAGCCAGGTGGTCTTTAGGAAGTCATTTAACCTTTATCTTGGTTTCCTCATGCATTAAATGAGATGACTGTAAAAATCAAATTGAATAATAAATGTGTAGCCATTTTAAAAAGACATCAAATGTTATTTTTGTGCCCCTGGTGGTATTTTGAGCCCCCGGTATTATTCCACATTAATCGTATTAAAACATCCTGTTACTTGTTAATTTAGGAATACATAGATGAGTAATTATGATTTAATTATTTCATTTATCAAATAAACCAGCAGGACAGAAATATCTAATGACCACATGAACAATCTGTCAAGAGATACAGAATAACCAGCAATCCTACATGTAAACATTATTTGTCTTGACTCCAAGTCCATAATAGGTAGATTATTAATATCTAATTTCTGTAGTTTATTAACAGAAATAGAATTTGCTCTGTGGAGAAATAACCTCACATCTCATATGTACAGCAAAACAGGCTTCTAGTTTCAGTAGTGGGAAAGTTAAGGCAGTACTAATCTTCCCATGACCTTCTTCCCCACCCCTTTCCCTCCTTTTTCCAATTTCATTCAAACTACAAAAGAACCAGAGAAGTCAAGGAACGAAGATTCCCCCTCGACTCTCACTCTGCGTCTATAGTCCTAACACAGAATTCACCTGCTGAGATCATGTAGCTGCCTGCTCTGACTTAATTCACCAAGTGTCTGTGATTCCTCCATGCAGTAGAAACAAAATGTCAATGACCAACTGGAATTTTCCCTAAAAACAAAATACTGGCATTCAGCTGAATCAGGCACTTTTTTTTTTTTTTTTTGAAATGGAGTCTCACTCTGCTGCCCAGACTGGAGTGCAGTGACATAATCTTGGCTCATTGCAACCTCCACCTCCCAGTTCAAGTGATTTCTGTCTTAGCCTCCTGCATAGCTGGGACTATAGGTGTGTGTGACCACACCTAGCTAATTTTTGTATTTTAAATTTTGTATTTTTGCCATGTTGGCCAGGCTGGTCTCAAACTCCTGACCTCAGGTGATCCATACACCTCAGCCTCCCAAATGCTGGGATTACAGGTGTGGGTCACTGCACCCAGCCAATCAGCATGCATTTTTAAGCAGTTTATACAGGGTAAACTAATTCCGAAGAGGTCATTCAAAATGTTTCAAGACAAACAGCCTCAATGATATATTATTAGTGGTTGGATTTTCATCCTGTATCAAAAGCCACTTAGTATGAAAATCTCACCTGGTATCTGTCTATCCATCCCTCACAAGTACTAACACTTCATGATTACCAAACCATGCTCGCAACATGATACAAGAAAAAGAATAAAATAAAGAAACACCCAGAGCCTTCTGCCTGGAGAGATTATCAGTTATTTTTTGTCTGTCTTAGTGAAGCAGAACAGAGACCTCGGAAATAATGCCACATATCTTACAACCATATGATCTCTGACAAACCTGACAAAAGCAAGCAATGTGGAAAGGCTCTCCTATTCAATAAATGGTGCTGGGAAAACTGGCTAGCCATATGCAGAAAACAGGACCCCTTCCTTACACCTTGTACAAAAATTAGCTGAAGATGGATTAAAGATTTAAATGTAAAACCCAAAACCATAAAAACCCTATAAGAAAACCTAGGCAATGCCATTCAGGACATAGGCATGGGCAAAGACTTCCTGACAAAGATGCCAAATGCAATCGCAACAAAAGCAAAAGCTGACAAATGGGATCTAAAGCAAAAGAAACTATCATCAGAGTGAAAAGGCAACCTACAGAATGTGAGAAAATTTTTGCAATCTACCCATCTGACAAAGGTCTAATATCCAGAATTTACAAGAAGCTTAAACAAATTTACAAGAAAAAAACAACTCTATCCAAAAGTGGGCAAAGGATAAGAAGAGACACGTCTCAAGACACTTAATACAGCCAACATATGAAAAAAAGCTCAACATCACCGATCATCAGAGAAATGCAGATCAAAATCACAGTGAGATACCATCTCACACCAGTCAGAATGGTGATTATTAAAAAGTCAGGAAAGAATAGATGCTGGCAAGGCTGTGGAGAATAGGAATGCTTTTACACTGTTGGTGGAAATGTAAATTAATTCAACCATTCTGGAAGACAGTAAGGTGATGTCTCAAGGATCTAGAGGCAAAAATACCATTTGACCCAGCAATCCCATTACTGGGTATATACCCAAAGGAATATAAATCATTCTACTATAAAGACACATGCACATGTATGTTTATTGTAGCACTATTTACAAGAGCAAAGTCATAGAACCAATCCAAATGACAATCGATGATAGACTGGATAAAGAAAATGTGGCACATATACACCATGGGATACTACACAGCCATAAAAAGGAATGAGATCATGTCCTTTGCAGGACATGGTCATGAAGCCGTCATCCTCAGCAAAGTAACACAGGAACAGAAAACCAAACCCCGCATGTTCTCATTCATAAGTGGGAACTGAATAATGAGAAAATATGAACACAGAAAGGGGGACAACACATACCAGCACCTGTTGGAGGGTGGGGAGTGAGGGGAGAAAACTTAGAGGATGGGTCAATAGGTGCAGCAAACCACCACGGCACGCATATACCTATTTAACAAACCTGCACATTCTGTACATGTATCCCATTTTTGTTTTTTTTTTTTTTAAGAAGAAATTTTTTAAAAAATCATAAAGAATAGTAAAAAGTACATGAGGCTTTCTATAACTTTCATTAACAATTTTTTCTTTAGTTTTCCCTTAAAAATCTGGCAAAGGAATACCTGAAGAAAGCTTTCATGAACTGCTATAAGTTCCTCTGCGTATCACATGGTAAAAGAAGTGTCATGAAGTTCAGGCTATCTAGTACTATCCCATCATCTTCATTTGTGTAACCATGCTGGTTCAATGGTACCAGTGCTTCACTGCTAAAACAAGATAGCTAAGCAGGACCAGTGTAATGGCTGAATACTGCTGGGCTTTTCTCAGCAGCCCTGGGAACTTGAGACTTAAGACTCAGTGTCAGTGAGGTTTCAGAGGGCTTCCCAAATAAGAACTTGCCTTTTGTGCAGTGTCTCCATCCATGGCTAAAGAGCCCCCAGAGCAACCACTGTTATTTCTATAAGCATAGGCAATCTAGTCCTTTATAAAGACCTGCAGCTGGGTTTTACAATATGATGGCTATTAGGGAGGAAGATTTTGGAGCTGAGAGGGACATTCTTACTGGTGTATCTGAACACGTGACTGGTCACAAATGGAAACTAGACTTGGTACTCTCTGTGCCCCTCACTCTCTTTGTCTCAGGTTCACATAAAATATTGCTTAAAAACAAAGCCAAGCTAGGCCTCAGGGAGATACGTTGCTGGGGTGCTGTCTAGTCCTCCCACTACATCATATTCCCAGCACCCTTACAGGAACGTCCTACAGGCCCCACCAGACTATCAAATTGAAGCCACCAAGAGTCCTCTCATGTGACTTCATACACAGATCACCCAGCATGGCTCTGATGATATAAGCTGTCACTTATTTGCAAGTGAACTAACTGAATGTCAAGATCAGTCGTTTGTGGTCTTGCCATCTGATGTCAGACTTAGTTCACAGCAGATGCTCATTGAAATCATTTAGGAAGCCAAATAAGATGTATAGCAAGTCCAAACCCCCACCAGGAGGAAGGGAAGACATGACCCATTTTCTGCAAACCTTTGCTTTAGTTTGGTATTCTTCTTTGAGAGTCTTCAATCAGGATTACAACTGGCTTGAATCCTGCTCATTTTAGCATAAGTGTATAACTTGCTATGTGATATTGTATAGTGTGGACAGCAAGACAAAAGGGCATATTTCCCATCTTCTCTACAAAAGAGGAATAGCCAGAACCAGCTGCCAAAAATGCTGAAATAGCCTGTGACAGTTATCCCACAGCTACCAGGCAGTGCCTGAGATCATCATGTGCTCCTCTATTTTCTTCTCTCTGCCCTACTCTGTTTTCCTTGTGCCTAAATCTTAGACCTAGCAACCTAGGAAACTTGCTCAGTTCCACTGGCTACTACTTCAGTATAAAAGAAAATGACAATCCCTACTAATCTAAAGCATTATTTTCATGACTTATTCTAGAATCCCAGAACAAAGCAAGGCTCATGTTCAGAGCAGGCTGTGTTAACAAGCACAAAATTGTACATAATAAATGTACACAATGATCTTACCATTGACATTAATCAATGAGAGAATATTGTCCTGGTGATCAAGGAGGCGCTTAACTTCAAGAATATCCCATTCTAGTGATCCTTCTGTGGGTGCTACCAACCTAAAAATTACTTAACAAAAAAGACAGATGTAATTTTATTACAATGCTCAAAGAGGATAAAATACTACTCCTGCTCTAAAGCAAGCATTTCATTAAGTGAAAAATACCTACCACACTGAAAAACCCATCTCCAAAAAAAAGCCTTATTCATACTACTTTAAACTATTTCTTTTAAATGCTTGAGATTTTCTACTAAAACCCATACTGAATGTGTCCTGAGAACCCTCTTCCTCTACTGACTTTTCCAAACACTGAAGCTCCCATTCTCTCTAGGATTTCGATGCATGTCTGGCTATCTCAGCTGAATCCCTCCCTAGCCAGTAACTAGCCCACATCCCTGAATCACCTCCACCAGCAGCTTTCTCTACTCATGTCCCCAGGCCAGTAAGCACTGCCACAGAGTAAGCTGCAAATCAAAGCTTAACTTCAACTCAGTGAAGACATCAGCAGCTTCTTTTTAAAAAAGTTTTTGATTCCTAGGCATATACCATTAAATTATAAATTCTCTGAGTATGTCTTATAATTTTTATATATCATACATTTCTTCTGACTATAGTAATGTTCAATGTGTTGCTTTACTCATTATCTGACTTTAACAAATAGTTTTACTTTAGTATAAATCCTAACTTTAATCAATACAGAAAACCCATAATAAAATCCACTGACGTGATTCTATTGACAACATTTTCTAAACATTTATGTACCAGGAACTCTAGATACCAAACGTGAATAAGGCCCAGTCACAAATGCTCAGTCTAGACTGACAGTGGGACTTGTTTATAAACAGGCTTAACATCAATATACTGAGTGCTTTAATACACCACTGGACCAACTGCTGTGGATGCTCAAAGATTAGGATGACTAACATCTGAGAAGTGAAAAGTTTCAAAAATCATGTCCTTTTCAAATTACTAAAGTATCTCTCTTTCTCATACTTCTCTCTGGAAGATAGGTCATGCCATGCTTCTTTTTGTGTCTCTGACAGTATTTTACCAAACCACAAATCTCTAAAAAGGTTATTTAATCCTGACAGCCACTCATGTTCAAACTGTGGTTGTTAAAAGAAGGTTTTTCAGTCATTAGAAAAGAGAACTCTCTGATACATATCAGTGTTGTGGGAAATTCTACCTTAGTTGGAATACTACCAAGTGATCTTCAAATTGGAATTTTGGAATAACAAGCAATATACTGTTTAACCAAGCTAACATACTGATTAAAATTCTGATGAGAAAAAGAAACCTGGCCTCACATCCTGAAAATGCCTCAGTCTCTGTATCACTTCAACAATGCCAAGAAGGCAAGACTGGGGCACATGCAGGTGTCCCTTAAAGAAAAAACTAATCAGTCCTTCCAGCATGTGTATACAATTCTAGTTCAAAATATACAAAAAGAAAAAGAAAAAAATTCATACTCACTCAGTTCTTTGCCAACTGCTGCCACAACACAGTTCTTAGGTATTTCAACCAATGCACTAATACCTCCAAAAACATATAAAACAAAGGTCAAATTATTTTTTTTTTACATTATATCAAAAACAAAAACATTCTCAGTTTTATGTCTGTCGTTTTCCATAAAGAAGATAAAGCACACAGAACTGGTTCGACACATACTTCCTTGCTTGCTTACTCATAAAAAATGATTTTGTTAAATGTAAGTTTCTGAGACTTTAGAAGACATTACTGATTTATTAAGAACAGAAAGGGTTTTGTTTTGTTTAACTATTATGATAGAGTGGTAGATTCAGCTATTGTAACTTATTTACCAGGGATCTCTTAAGATAATCACCATCACCCATTTACAAGATGGCTGGCTCAAAAGGGATGTAAAATTGGGGTTTTCCCTTATATAAATTTAAGAACCCTGAGCAGGCTCCCTGGCGCTGAATCAACTAGCCAACAGTCAGCAGCTAAGAAAGTGGCCTTCGAATAGTATGTTTGTAATCCACTAATACATGTACCAATTTTCTTCTATTATTGAAATACTCAGATTCAACATTCTAACACATTTCACTTATTTAAAGGGGTATGAGTATCTTTTCATAGCCAAATCATATTTTGGGGTAACTATATTTTAGGGTAACTATAACTTCTATAAGGTATGTTACCATTTTACTTCTGTTGGCATGAATAAAAGAGTTGATATATTAGAACCACCACGTGTTGGAAAAAAAAAAACCTGTTTAATTTTTCCATTATGATATATATGTAATTTATATATGCAAGTGTGGAAAATGGTCTACTCATTTGCTTAACTTTCCCACCCACCAAAGGACTAACGGTTGTGATTTTGAATAGTATTTCTGGCTAATACAAAACCTACTTTTGTATTGGCTAGAAATACTATTCAAATCACAACAGTTATTTTCCCATATACGAGGAGGAGGAAACAGTGCTGCAAGGAAGGTGAAGGAGTGGTACAGAGAAGGCAGAGGAGATGGGAGAACAGCAGGGTGGGTAGCAAGAGAAGAATTCTAAATGTAGCAAACAGCTTGTTTAAAATCTTTCACTAAATTATTTGTGAAAATACTAGAAGCCCAACAATCCAGAAGTAGCAACCTAATATTCAGCATCACAGAACATACTGCTGGAAAGGATATGGGTGCCCTGCCGTCTAGTCCGGGGCTCCTTCCATTGTATCACATTGACTAAGATTATCTTTGCTTATTTCCACACACAGAATAACTGCGAGTAAAAGCTCCACCAGCCCATAAATCAAGCAGGGCTTATGAAAGGACATCATGACCTAAGGGTTTAATAACACTATTAATGATCTGACCTCTAGTAATTTGGAAAACCAGAATGACCAATAGTTCACCAATGGTAACCCATGGACTTTTCAAGGCTTTCCCATAGATTCCCTCAAAGCCTTCTGTTAACTCTTCAGACACTGATAAACGGCAATACTGTGATTACTTAATGTATAGACTCAAAGAAAACTTGCAAAAGAAAGGGACACTGCAATAAGAGGTGGCTATTTCCAGGAACACACTGAAGATTCTTTTCAGCCCCAATTTCAACATTTTGCAATATAACTTTATTAAAATAAAATTCACAAACACCACTGGCTAATGAAAGAGAGAGGAAAATGAACATAAAAATATTTACTTCATGATAATAGTAAACAGGGAAATGTATTCTACATTCGAGCAAGATTGTTAGTAATCAAATGCTGAACTGAGTGGTTAAATGTAAACCCTAGCAATGTATGGATTTAGTTTTCCTAAGTCATTATTTTTCTGATGCTTTATCATAACTATATGGCGCTCAGCTAGCTCTTATTAACTAAATTCAATTCCCACTGAAATGTCAACAATATGCACAATAATGTTTCTTCTAGGAGACCCACAGGCCCATTTGATTACTTTTAGAAATAATAATAGTTAATAGTGTGACTTCAAGGTTGTTATTAAAACTTACTCATTTATATTTAAATATTTTTACTCTAAAAATGGAATTTATTTTTTAAGATCCTTGGTATCAAAAGTCAAAACTGATTTTTTTTTTCTGTTGAAACCAAAAGTGTATGTACATAGAATTCTGAGAAAATGAAACCTTATCAGTAAGCTTGCACAGGTATAAACTTTTTGGTAAGGACAATTATAAAAAGAGGTCATCCTTAGGAATCTATTCAAAGTTAATGACCCCACAAAAAAAGAGAAAACTGCTAAGGTAAAGTTGTAAGGGTCTGCTTCCAGGTATCAGCATGCTCACCAAACATAGTTCACCAAGAATAGCCCAAGAGCATTGGAAAGGTTGTTCTTGAGCAATTCTGTTAGAAGGGAAGGGGAAGCCAAAAGGAGTGGAGTCTTCTTCTTATTCAGGATAAAAATATATTTTACACAAACCCTCATCTGAATTGAATATGGCTACCTGTTGTCTTCAAAACTGAAAAGAAAAATCGCCTATATTGACCTTTCTACTTAGAGCCGGTCTCTCTGAAGATCTGCTGTGTCTTCTAGAGTCTGTCAATCATAGTTTAAAATTACCTTGATTTGTTTTTTACCTGTATCAGAAAGGTGGCTAGTCTTACACAGGAGATCTAATTTTCGGTTCCACACACACAGGTCATTCCCACCAGAAAGCCAAACATCTACTCTCTGAAGAACAGTCAAACACTGCAAAATGTATTTGAAATGTATATCAGGTTAGAAATTCAAGCAGTCATTGTTCAGTGGTTTTAAAATACGTCCACAAGTTCTTTAACCCCTTCCTTCAATAAGTGGAGCTTATTTTTCCTTAGCAGAGCATGTGGGCACTACTAAGTGACTAGCTTCTACCAAACAGAATGTGGCAGGAGGAATGGTGTGTGACTTACAAGACTAAGTCATAAAAGACACTGTGGCCCCCTCCTTGTTCTCTCTTGGATTACATGCTCTAAGGTGAAGACACTCAAGTGATCACATGGAGAAATGTCCACCTAGCAAGGGGCTAAGGCCTCTGGGCAACTACCAGCACTAACTTGCCAAGCACGTAGGTGAGCCTCCTGGGAGGGAGCTCCTTCACCGCAGTCACGCCTTCAGACAGCATGACCCTTGGGAGAGGCCCTGAACCAGAACCACCCAGATAAGATGGCTTCTAGTCCTGATCACAAACACTGTGAGATGGCAAATGTTTGTTGTTTTAAGCCACTAAGTTTTGAGGTAATTTGTTACGCAGTAATAAATTACTAATACACAATTGCTTAAACTCCGTTTTAAATCAAACTGAAACTATGGCCTTGGTTTCTCTGTATCTGCAGAATAAGTAACACCTAAGTCTTCTCAATTCTATACGTTTGGTAGACTCAGGAAAGTGAGTGTTTCAAGTACCGCATAAGCCCTTGACCTTTAATCCTTTAATAGTACTCTCCTTGCCCACTGACTCTAAGTGAGAAAAAGAGCAAGAGCAAGAGAGAAGAGAAAATAAAAGGCAGAGAGTAACTTTGCCTAGGCTGAGTAGGGCTGCTTTTAAAACGGTTGGATTAAAATAGAGTTGAAAATAACTAATACAGTGGCCCTACCCTGTCTAATCTCTGAATTTTTTATGCCAGTATTTCATTTCTTTTTATTGCCAAACAGTATTCCACTGTGTGGGTGTACATTGTGTTTATTCATCAGTTGATGGACATTTAGGTTGTTTCCCTTTTTGACTATTATGAATAACGTTTCTATGAACAATCACATACAGATTTTTATATGGACTAACACTCTCCTATCTCTTGGGGATATACCGAGAAGTGTGACTGCTGGGTCAAATGATAATTCTGTAAGTGCTTTCCAAGGTGGTTGTATCATTCTAGATCCCACCAGCAATGTATGAAGGTTACAACTGCTCCACATTCTTACCAACACTTGTCTTTAGATATGAAGCCACTCTAGTATGTATGAAATGGTACTTTACTGTGGTTTTGACTTGCATTTCTCTAATGACTAATGATCTTGAAGCTCCTCTTCATGTGATTATCTGACATTTGTTTATCTTCTTTGGAAAAATTTTTCTTTCAAATCTTTTGTCTGTTTTTACTTGGAGTATTTGCCTTTTTATTGTTGGATTCTTTACATATTGTAGACACAAGTCCCTTATCAGATATACGATTTGAAAATATTTTCTCCAATTCTGTGGGCTGTCTTTTCACTTTTAAGCACAAAAACTTTTCATTTTGATGAGATCCAATTTATCTTTTTTTGTTGTTGATATGCTTTTGATGTCTATTTAAGATACCTTGCTGAAGGTCACAAAGATTTGCTCCTATATTTCTCCCTAGATTTCTGTAGTTTCAGCTCTTACATTTGGGTCTTTGATCCATTTTGAGTTAACTTTTGGATATGACATGAGGTAGAGATAAAATTTCATTATTTTGTATGTGGATGTCCAATTGACATAGCATCATTTTTTGAAGAGACTATTCTTTCTCCCATTAGAGGTTCTTGGCATGCTTGTCAAAAACTCAATTGGCTATGTAAGACTTTATTTCTGGACCTTTAATTCTATTCAATTGATCTGCATGTCTATCATTATGCCAATACCACAGTCTTGACCATTGCAGCTTCGTATTGAGTTCTGAAGTTGGGGAGTGTGTCTTGGAACTTTGTTTTTCCATTTTAAGATTGTTTTGGCTATTCTGGGTCCCTTGCACTCCCACATGAATTTTAGAATCAGCTTGTCAATTTCTCGAAAAAAAAAAAAAAAAGTCAGTTACAATTTTGATAAAGATTGGGTTCAATCTGTAGATCAATGTGGGTAGTGGTAGAATCATAACAGTAAATCTGATCCATACTCTCAGGATATTTTTCCATTTATTTAGATCTTTAATATCTTTCAACAGCGTTTTGTAGTTTGGGGTATATAAGTCTCATACTTCTTTAAATTTCTTCTAATAGTGATCGAGTATTACTACGTTGGCCAGGTTGGTCTTAAACTCCTGGCCTCAAGCAATCCTCCCACCCTGGGCTCCCAAAGTGCTACGATTATAGTCATAAGACATCACACCCAGCCTGAATCTATTTCTGAGTATTTTATTCTTTTGGATGCTGCTGTAAATGGAATAATAGAATTATTTCTTAATTTCATTTTTGGATGTTCATTGCTAGTGAACAGAAATACAGTTGATTTCTGTGTGTTGATGTTATATCCTGAAGCCTTGCTAAATCCATTCATTAGCCTGAATAGTTTGGTTGTGGACTTACGATTTTCTATATACACAAGATCACGTCATTTGGGAACAGAGATAGTTTTATTTCTTCTTTTCCAATATGGATGTCATTTATTTTTTTATTGCCCAACTGCCCTAGCTGGAACCTCCAGTACAATGTTAAACAGATGTGCTGAGAGCAGACATCCTTATCTTGTTCCTGATCTTTGGGGGAAATTATTTGTCCTTCACCATTTTTTTTTCTTTTGGAGACAGGGTCTCCCTCTATCACCCAGGCTAGGGTGCAGTGGAACAACTGCAACTGCAGCCTCAAACTCCTGGACTCAAGGGATCCTTCCACCTCAGCCTCCCAAGTAACTGGGATTACAGGCATGTCGTGTGCCACTAGGCCCGACTGATTTTCCTTTTCTTTCTTTTTTTTTAAATTGTACTTTAAGTTCTGGGGTACATGTGCAGATCTTGCAGGATTGTTGCATGGGTACACATATGCCATGGTGGTTTGCTCTCTCCATCCCCCTGTCATCTACATCAGGCATTTCTCCCAATGTTATCCCTCCCCAACATCCCCACCTCCTGCTGTCCTTCCCCTAGCCCCCCACCCCACAACAGACCCCAGTGTATGATGTTCCCCTCCCTGTACCAAGTGTTCACATTGTTCAACACCTGACTATGAGCGAGAACATGCATTGTTTGGTTTTCTGTTCTTGTGTCAGTTTGCTGAGAATGATGGTTTCCAGATTCATCCATGTCCCTAAAAAGGATATGAACTCATCCTTTTTTATGGATGCATAGTATTCCATGGTGTCTATGTGCCACATTTTCCTTGTCCAGTCTATCATGGATGGGCATTTGGGTTGGTTCCAAGTCTTTGCTATTGTAAACAGTGCTGAAATGAACATACATATGCATGTGTCTTTATCATAGAACGATTTATAATCCTTTGGGTATATACCCAGTAATGGGATTGCTGGGTCAAATGGAATTTCTATTTCTAAACTGTTGAGGAATCGCCACACTGTCTTCCACAATGGTTGAACTGACACTCCCACCAACAGTGTAAAAGTGTTTCTATTTCTCTGCATCCTCTCCAGCATCTGTTGTCTCCAGGTTTTTTAATGATCACCATTCTAACTGGTGTGAGATGGTATCGCAATGTAGTTTTGATTTGCATTTCTCTAATGACCAGAGATGATGAGCATTTTTTCACGTTTGGTGGCTGCATACATGTCTTCTTTTGAAAAGAGTCTTTTCTTATTTTTCACCCACTTTTGAATGGGTTTGTTTTTTTCTTGTAGATCTACTTTAGTTCTTTGTAGATTCTGGAAATTAGCCCTTTGTCAGATGGGTAGATTGCAAAAATTTTCTCCCATTCTGTTGGTTGCCAGTTCACTCTAATGATAGTTTCTTTTGCTATGCAGAAACTCTTAAGTGTAATCAGATCCCATTTGTCTATTTTGGCTTTTGTTGCCATTGCTTTTGGCGTTTTAGTCATGAAGTCCTTGCCTATGCCTATGTCCTGAATGGTTTTGTCTAGGTTTTCTTCTAGGGTTTTTATGGTGTTAGGTCTTATGTTTAGATCTTTAATCCATTTGGAGTTAATTTTGGTGTAAGGTGTAAGGAAGGGGTCCAGTTTCAGCTTTTGGCACATGGCTAGCCAGTCTTCCCAACTCCATTTATTGAACACAGAATCCTTTCCCTATTGCCTGTTTTTGTCAGTTTGTCCAAGATCAGATAGTTGTAGATGTGTGGTGTTACTTCCGAGGCCTCTGTTCTGTTCCATTGGTCTATATCTCTGTTTTGGTACCATCATCATGCTGTTTTGATTACTGTAGCCTTGTAGTATAGTTTGAATTCACATAGCATGATTTCTCCAGCTTTGTTCTCTTTGCTTAGGATTGTCTTGGCTATGTGGGCTCTCTTTTGGTTCCATATGAAGCTTAAGGTGGTTTTTTCCAGTTCTGTGAAGAGGGTTATAGGTATCTTGATGGGGACACCATTGAATCTATAAATGACTTTGGGCAGTATGGCCATTTTCTCAATATTGATTCTTCCTAACCAGGAACATGGGATGTGCCTTGGGGTTGCTCTTCTTGAGGAATATCTTTGTGGCATTCTCTTTATTTCCTGGACTTGAATATTGGCCCGCCTTGCTAAGTTGGGGAAGTTCTCCTGGATAATATTCTAGAGTGTTTTCCAGCTTGGATTCATTCTCCCCGTCACATTCAGGTACACCAATCAAGCATAGATTAAGTCTTTTCACATAATCCCATATTTCTTGGAGGCTTTGTTCATTTCTTTTCACTCTCTTTTTCTCTAATCTTGCCTTCTCATTTTATTTCATTGAGTTGATCTTCAATCTCTGATATCCTTTATTCTGCTTGATCTATTCGGCTACTGAAACTTGTATACACTTTGTGAAGTACTCATGCTGTGTTTTTTAGTTCTATCAAATCAGTTATTTTCTTCTCTAAGCTGGCTTTTCTAGTTCGCATTTCATCTAACCTTTCTTCAAGGTTTTTAGTGTCTTTGCATTGGGTTAGAACATGTTCCTTTAGCTCACAGATTGTTACTACCCACTTTCTGAAGCCTGCTTCTGTCAATTCATTAAACTCATTCTCCATCCTGTTTTGTTCCCTTGCTGGTGAGGAGTTGTGATCCCTTGGAGGAGGAGAGGCATTTTGGTCTTTGATGGTTTTATCTGTTTTGTGCTGGTTTCTTCCCATCTTCATGGATCTTTGAAGTTGGTGATTGCTGATGGGGTCTCTGAGTGGACATCCTTTCTGTTGATGTTGAAGCTATTTCTTTTGGTTTTTTAGTTTTCCTTCTAACAGTCTGGTCCCTCTGCTGTAGGACTGCTGGAGGTCCATTCCAGACCTTGCTTGCCGGGGAACCACCCGTGGGGTTTGCAGTACAGCAACGATTGCTGCCTGATGTTTCCTCTGATTGCTTCATCACAGAAGGGTACCCGCCACATGTCAGCCACAGCTCTCCTGTATGAAGGGTCTTTTGGTTATACAGGGGTCAGGGAGTCATTTGAGGAGGCAATCTGTCCCTTGTCTGCCTACAGAGGCACTGCTGAGCTGTCACAGACTCAGTCCAGCTGCTGTGTAAGCTTCCTCTGGCTTTTGTTTACACAGGTAGGTTTAGATCCACCTCAGCAATGGCAGACACCCTTCCCCCAACCAAGTTCAATCATCTCAGGTTGAGCTCGAACTGATGTGCTGGTTGCGAAACTCTCATGCAAGAGGGCTTCAGTTTGCTGGTCTTTGTGGGGGTGGGACCTGCCCAGCCTTATCACCTGCTTTCAGCTCCCCTTCTTTCTAGGGAGTAGGTAGCTCTGTCCTGCAGGCACTCTCAGTGCTAGCCAAAATGTCTGCCCAGATCTGTGCCAGCAATCCACAGCGCCAGCCAGAGCTGCCCCTCAGATCCATGCTGTTAATTTGGGGCACTTTTCAGCCTGGCAGAGATCTCCTGGTCTGTGGGTGGCAGAGCCCATGGGAGAAGTGCAGTATCTGAACCAGAGTGCAGTAGGTGGGGGAAGTTCCTGATCCTCCAGTCAGTTGCACTTCCCAGGTGAGGCAGTGCCCCACCCTGCCTCGGTTTGCCGTCCTTGGGCTACACTCACTGTCCAACCAGTCCCACTGAAATGAACCTGGTACCTCAGTTGGAAATACAGAGCTCTCTCTCCTTCTGCGTCTCTTGCTGGGAACTGTGCTCTGGGGCTGTTCCTATTCAGCTATCTTGGCAGAATCCCCTCTTTATTTTTTGGTAGAGAAGAAGTTTCACCATGTTGCTGAGGCTGGTCTTGAACTCCTGAGCTCAAGTGATCCACTCACCTTGGTCTCCCAAAGTGCTGGAATTGCAGGCATGAGCCACCACACCCAGCCTCGCCTTTCACCATTAATATGAAATTAGCTATGAGATTTTCACAGATGCCCTTTATTAGGCTGAGGAAATTCTCATCTATTCCTAATTTGTTGAGTATTTTTTATCACAAGAGGGTGTTGTCGAGTTTGTCAAATGCTTTCTCTGTTTCTATTCCGACGATCCTGTGGTTTTTGTCCTTTATTCTTACTATGGTATCTGCTTTCTTTTTAGATGTCGCTGGATTTGGTTTGATAATATTTTGTTGAGAATAATATATGGTTTTGTTTCTTAACATTTTACCACTAGCGTTTTCCTCTTTTAATATTCTTCTGAAATATAATTTTTAGTATATACATCTACCATAATTTATTTTCTTATAAGACATGTAGGGCACTTCCAATCATCCATTTATAAAAATGTATTTGTAGTACACATTTCTGTTCATAAATCTCTGCCTTATTATCTGATTATTTCCTTTAAAGAGTTTTCTAGAATATCGCTGGATTAATGCCTATAATAATTTCTTTAGATTCATTCATAATGCCAAACTACTTTCTGGGAAGATCATATCAATTTATAGTCTCAATATGCAATAAAATGCCAATTTCACTATGTCCTTGCTAACATCAACCCTTATAAAAATTTTTGCTAGTTCAAAAACTAAATAATAGTATTTCTTATATTAGGGATATAAATTTCTTTGATAAACTATCTATTCAAGAACAACTTAACCACTGAACTAAATGAATGCAATGCTATTTTTTTTTTTTTAGCAATATTTGTGTGAAACAGGATTACAGCAGGAGAAAACAAATACAAATATGTAGCTGATTCACATTATAGTAAAACCCCTTTTAAAACTACTTTCAGTATACTGGAATAAGATACTTTTTATGTGACCAGTTCCCATAGCCAATCCATAACACAGTTTACCAAAGGAATTTCCCACAAATACATTAAATTTTTTCTCCTCCTTTGTTCCTTCATGCCACATCTTTTCATTGGAAACTTAATGACCTTAGTTTTTCAGACAGCAAGAATATTTTTAAAGGAAAGTAAAAGGTGCATCATTTAGGTCACATAAAGTATAGAGATTTTAGTCAAATCAATACTTTAATGACTTCTTTAAAAATCCATTGTTAAGTTAGATATAAGCATATATAGTATATGGCACTTTCTTCCCCTGAAACTTTACTAAGTTGATACTTTTAACAGCACAGTGCCATGAGATGGCTACTACTGGCACACAGCAATTCTTTTTACATTAAGAAGAAAAGGAACAAAAGAGTTAGCTCCAATATAAAGAAGCAGTTATCCTTAAAGTAAATGAGGGAGCATCTAATACTACTACTACCTTTTCCAAAACTTGGTTACATTACTAAAAAACAGCGGTACTTTCTCCAAACAAGGTAATTTCTGTAAAAATCATAAGCAACCCAGTATTACCTATGTTTATTTCTCTAAAATGTAGCAGAGTTCCTGTCATATAATAAGCCCCAATTAATATTTGTTTATAAAATGAATAACCCAACAGTAGCAGCAAATTAGCCATATAAGATTTTTAGTTCTCAAACTAAGTAACTGACATGTCCTACCTTTATGACCTTAGAGAAGGTGGAGGTCAAGGGACAAATAACTGTAAATTTTAAATTCAAAGTTTAAAAAAAAACAGACCAGCTACTATTGTGGTCATTCTGCAAGTAACACTTCTTCCTAGAATTACCTATAAAAACATACCAGGTACTACCTTTTTGCTTATCTTGCTATAGGGATTATCCCTTGCTCTAAATTCAAATTGAAACATTCTACCACTTAATATATATGCTCTCAAAAATCTGGTCTTAGAAGAATCAAATGACAACAGGTGTGTGAAATAATTTGTAAGACCCACAAAAGTAATTTCCTCTAACTTTTTTTTTTTTTTTTTTNAGACGGAGTTTCGCTCTTGTTACCCAGGCTGGGGTGCAATGGCGCGATCTCGGCTCACCGCAACCTCCGCCTCCTGGGTTCAGGCAATTCTCCTGCCTCAGCCTCCTGAGTAGCCGGGATTACAGGCACGCGCCACCATGCCCAGCTAATTTTTTGTAGTTTTAGTAGAGATGGGGTTTCACCGTGTTGACCAGGATGGTCTCGATCTCTTGACCTCGCCATCCACCCACCTCGGCCTCCCAAAGTGTTGGGATTACAGGCGTGAGCCACCGCGCCCGGCCCTCCTCTAACTTTTTAAACCATGTCTTCTCAGACAAAAACAGACTGCCATATTTAAGGTTTTACCTTTACAGTAGACTGGAAACAAGATATTCTCTGAACTTGTCTCCCGTTATCACTGTCCCACACCTAAATTTATGTTAAGGAATAATTTCTAAACAGAATTTTAAAATCTTAATTATGAGATAACTTTTCTAATTAACAATTAAACCACAAAAATGTTAAGCAGTTAGAAAATCTTTAAATAAATCATAAAATAGTTAGTGTTTATACTACCACAAAAATGAATTCATATAGTGAGTCATCAACTTAACAGAGCAGGCTTATGATCTAAAATAAGTTTGAAGTAAATTTTACTATCAAATTATTTGAAAATGTCAACAGAATGCGTGGTCTGAAATACTGAATCTTTACAAGCACCACATATTGCAACTGTTTAAAGTTTATTCTCCAGAATAGTCTACCATAATCTAATAAGCGTGAACATAAAGTACTTATACCAAAAACTATCATGTCCATTAATATTTACCGAAAGCTCCCTATAATGTGGATAGAATGATTTACTACTGTTAATCTTAATTTGAGAAGACACTAACAGTGTATTACTATTACCTGAATATGCATTTAATATAATCAGAGGGCCTCTCATAAAACACCAAGTTTAGTTTGACTTAAGCAACACAATGATTTTCAAACTTTTACACCATTTCCTGTAGTAAGAAATACATTTTACACCATGTCTGAAAACAAATTTACATACATATATATACTATATACATACATACACATACTATATACATGCATATACAAATGTATATGCATGTATTAAAAATTGAACCTAATTTTACAAACTAGTTAACCTTATCATGTCCAATGCCTTTTGTTATATTTGTATTATACAGATGTGCCTGGACTTAGAGAAACAACCCATTCTAACTGGAAAATATTCTAAATTGAAATGCATTTAACACATCTATCAAACATTGTAGCTTAGCCTGGCCTAACTTATATGTGCTTAGAACACTTACAAAAGCCTACAGTTGGACGAAAAAATAAGTCATCTGGCAACACAGTAACTGTAGAGTAAGGCTGTTTACCCTTGAGATCTCATAGTTGACCAGGAGCTGTAGCTCCAGGCTGCTGCTGCACAGCACTGGGAAAGACGATTATCCCACGTATCACTAGTGTGGGAAAATATCAAACTTCAATATTCAAAGTACAGTTTCCACTTAATGCAGCTCACTTTCACACCATCATAAAGTTGAAAAATTGTAAGTCAAACCACCCAGGGTGGGGACTATCTATATTCTACATCATGTTTTAGATGGGTCTAGATTATGAGAATTGCATTTTATGTATATAACACACTAAAGAAAGTGCTAGCATATAAAAAGTGCTCCCAGTAATTATGAAATGTTTTCTGGCCTTACATTTACCAGAATTCTAGTAGTATCTCACAGCCTTTTCACTTATTTCACTATTCGCAAGCTGAATGTTTATTATTCAGTAACTTGGGCTCTTAAGGCTTTAAAAAATTACCTACCTGACCAGACGCAGTGGTTCATGCCTGTAATCCCAGTACTTTGGGAGGCCAAGGCAAGTAGATTATAAGGTTAAGAGATAGAGACCATCCTGGCCAACATGGTGAAACCCTGTCTCTCTACTAAAAATAAAAAAATTAGCTGGGCGTGGTGGTGCACAGCTGTAGTCCCAGCTACTCAGGAGGGTGTGGCAGGAGAATCACTTGAACTCGGGAGGCAGAGGTTGCAGTGAGCTGAGATCGCAGCACTGCACTCCAGCCTGGTGACAGAGTGAGACTCAGTCTCAAAAAAAAAAAAAAAATTATCTACTTCAGCATTTAATTAAGAAAGCTTTTAACAGGTTGAGTATCCCTTATCCAAAATGCTTCAGATGACAGTGTTTCTGATTTTTTTTTTTTTTTTGGAATTTAGAATATGTACATATCATAATGAGCTATCTTGGGGATGGAAACCATGTCTAAACACAAAATTCATTTATTTTCATATATACCTTATACACATAACCTGAAGGTAGTTTTATACAGTATTTTTGGTAATTCTGTGCATTAAACAAAATTTTGACTGCAACCTGTCACATGATGTCAGGTAGAAAATCTTCCATTTGTGGCATCACATCAGTGCTTAAAAAGTTTTGGATTTTGGATTTTCAGATTAGGGATGCTCAACCTGTAGTAAAAACCCAAACAGAGTAAATTTAGAACTCATCTGGGTAAAAGAGACTGCCAAATAAGTGGCCTAGAATTTTTTCTAACAACAAAAGTCATTCAGCAAAGTAAATGAGTCCACACTGTCACTTACAGGTAAAATTCATTGTGACACTGTCCCAGCTAACTGTACTAACTTCTGTACTATACTTTTAATCACTGCCTCAAAATATTGTTATGTCTTAGTAGTGGTCTAATAAAAAGAAAGTATTTTGAATTCTATTTTTGCAAAAATTACACTGATACTGAAAAAGAGAGCGTTAAGTCCATAAAATATTTGCCTCTATACAGCAGTAGTAATAAAGCAGCTCTGACCTAACCATCTGAATGAATTTTATGCCCTTGTTTATGCTGTATCATAATCACACACAAATATAATACATATATGTGTTCGTGTATATATGTGTGTATGTATAGAGTTTATTCCCATTTAAACCTTTTCTTGACATTTTTTCAGCTATAAACCGTTTAGAAACCACTTCAGCGGATGAACTCATTTAAAGCATGTTAGAGTCTGTGTCTTGGTTCTTTAAGAGCCCAAGAAACACCTATACCTTTGGGCTTACTCCAGAACTTAATTTCACCAATGCTTGAAATTTTTTAAACACAACTTCCAGATAAGCATATACTTATGCTTATCTTGGCTGGGCATGGTGGCTCACGCCTGTAATCCCAGCACTTTGGGAGGCCAAGGAGGGAAGATCACGAGGTCAGAAGTTCAATACCAGCCCGGCCAATAAAGTGAAACCTCGTCTCTACTAAAAATACAAAAAAAAATTAGCCAGGTGTGGTGGCATACGCCTGTGGTCCCAGCTACTTGGGAGTAGCTTGAACCCAGGAGGCAGAGGTTGTAGTGAGATCATACCACTGCACTCCAGCCTGGGTGACAGCAAGATTCCGTCTCAAANAAAAAAAAAAAAAAGAAAAAAAGAAAGAAAGAAAGAAAAATTAATCTGACACCTTTAAAAAAAAAAAAAATGAAAGACTCTGGACTTCACAAATCCAGTTCCTCATACAGATATCAAAGAGCTAAGTCTGTTTACAGAAAACATTTTATGAAGGCAGTATTTTATAGTGGTTCAGAGCTCTGACTCCGCAGTCAGACTACTTGCCAGTTCCGCCCTACACTGGCTGTGTGACTTGAGGAAGTTACTCAACCTCTCTGTGACTCATATTTTTAAGTCCACATTCTCCCATTTCCCCAATTTTATACAACCTGATGGAGTAACTCTGGAAAGAACAGCATTAGTCATGGAGTTTCCATCAATCAGAAGCTTTAACCTCCTATTTCCAGTCTAATACTTTTCAGATGCCTAATAAATGGTATCTTATAAAGAACAGAACAAAATCATTTTTGCTAAAACAAGAATATACAGACAAGACCCTATCAGCTAAAGACTATGTAGTGGCTCGTTGGGCCATTATAGCACGTTCATTTCTTCCAGATTAAAGGATATAATAACTGTTCTATCAGCAGAGGCTGTCAAGATGAGTTGCTTTTCTTCACAAGATTCCAAGGAAGGAAATGAAATAATAGCTGTTATCTTTTGAGTGTGTCCATTCAGTTCTAGAAGTTTTTCACCTGTCTGAAATACCATAAAAATGTTAATAGGCTTAGCTTTCACAATTTAGATAATCATAAATGACAACATTAAGTAGAACTGCCATATAGAAGATACATATACATTCCATTTAAAATTACTTTTTCAGAATTTATTTAATTTGGGCAACCACACAAAATGTAAACAAATGCTGAAAGAATAGCCATAAACAATTTTGATTATTTTCTAATACAAAAATGCTAATTTTTAGTGTATTTTTATAAAAAATGTTAAGGAGTATTCTTTTTTCTAAATTTCAAAAATGTAATTGTGTAAATTAAGCATAAAAACATCAGTAACTTAATTTGTAGGAAAAAAATAGGGAGTCCTCATTGTCCAAGTATTTGTTATTTAAGTCTTCACAATTATAAGGTTGTAGAAGAAAACCAAAGTCAGCATAACAACTGTATACGTATCTACACACACATATATATACATATATATATACACGTACATATCTCCACTAGTTTGTTAACCACTTAGAAAGTTAGTCACCACTCCATCTCTATTTAACACCAACATCTATTCCCACCCATCCAATGTCTTCATCCATCAGTCTCTGACTAATTTTCCAAGTAGTAAATATGCAAAAATACAATGTAAGTTGCAAATCTTTCCAAGATTGCAGGATTTCATGAATGTGGTGAAAATAATGTTAAAGAACTACTTTTATCACAGGCAAAGCCATTGAAAAATAAAGATCTGACAGAGTCAGACTAGACAACAATCCAAAATAAAGGCAAAAGGAAGATAAATACTTCAGAAAAGAATAATTTGAGTAACAAATGATCAGGAAGAGAGGCTCTGGAGAAACTTAGTGAAGACTTAAGTATTTATTTTTTTTTAAAAAGTCTTTTGTAATATTATTAAGTCAAACATGAGAAGAATGTTATATTATGCTATCATACAATGTTGAAAGAAAACTTGTGTGTCTCACAAAAATCAACACAATTCATTAATTCATTTTGGATGAATTCATTTATTCATTTTTAAGCTATCAGGGCATAGCTACTGATAACATAAATTTTGTTAAGTAAGATTAAAATTTTGTATTTTTTAAATTTTCATAATTTGGCATTTGTTTCTTAGGAAAAAATCTTTTTTTTTTTTTTTTTTTGGAGACAGTCTCACTGTGTCACCCAGGCTGGAGTGCAGTGGCATGATCTCAGCTCACAGCAACCTCCACCTCCCAGGTTCAAGCAATTCTCAGGCCGTGGCTTCCTGAGTAACTGGGATTACAGGTGTGTGCCACCATGCCCAGCTGATTTCTACTTTTAGAAGAGACGAGGTCTTGCTGTGTTGGCCAAGCTGTTCTCAAACTCCTGGGCCCAAGTTGTCCATCCATCTGTCCTCATCTCCCAAAGTGCTGGGATTATAGGCATGAGCCACCACACCCAGCCAGAAAAAAAAAAATCTTAATTTATAAAAACTTTCCCTCTTCATTATGAAATACTGGTCCCCATTGTAAATGGATTTATTCTAAGTAGCTCTTTTTAAATATTAATCTGTCAATTAATAATAATGATATGCAAATATATCCCCAGACAGTATTTATATGAATGCATACTCAACTATATCATATTTTTATTACACAATCCACACATAATCAATACACACCTGGGCATTCCACACAACTATAATTCCATCATCACCAGCAGATGCAAATCTAGTTAGGGAAAAAAAGAGTCAAGAAAAAAAAAAAATCACTGGTGACATTTAATTACTAAGATTAAGAACCATCAAACCTTATTAGTGGTAATTTGACTTACTAATATTAATGAAGATCAAGTTCTTTAAACTAATTTTAAAAATATTTATGAAACTTATGAAACACATTCCAGGTTCTATACCAGGTATGGAAGATCAAAAGATAAATAAGACATTTATTGGGTTACAAATAACTTGCTAGAAATGTAAAAATAATCTTTAAAGTCCTTCTTTGCTTTAAAATTCTATGATTTTAAGAAACCCCTGGCTTAAATGAAATGAAACCAAGCTGAGAAGTGGCTTCAGTGATAGAAAGTTATATTCCAGGGGTGGAACGGATTATGACGTTAGATAAATTCATTATTTCTATTATTCTCTCTGTAAACAACTATTGTTTAAAGTCAAGATCTCTCCTTTGCTCAGCTTAACTCCTTAGACTTTCCACATAAATGCTTTGTTCTTGGTTTGGAAGGTTTGAGGATTTTTAAGGGGTTTTTGTTGTCTTTTAGCGAAGATGCTTGAAATGCGGAGGTAAAGTCTGGCTCTTGGCATGAAAAATGAGCTGTGATACTCTGCTATAGCTTCTCTCTCCTTTTTACAACCCATTCACCATATATACAGGGACAATCACCAAATTCTGTAGAGTAGAAGATATCCTTAACACAAACACTATCAAGAGGAATAACCCTCATACAGGATTATTCATCATCATATTATATTAAAATTCATCATATTATACTAACCCAACACAGTAGAATACAATAATCACATTTTAAGCATGTGAAATAGTTTATTGTTAAAGTGACACACAAGTTCATACATAATATTTAACGACTCAGAATCAGTTTAAAATTGTCCCCATAATATTGCTTTCACTCAAATTCAGGTGTTTTTATTTTGAGTAAGAGAGAAAGAAGTGGTGTTAAAGAGACCCAGCTATGAATGACATATACTGGTCCCTTATAATGAACAACCATTAAGAAATGATATTCCACTAATAGCTCTGGGCTATTAATATGCAAATATATTTAACAATCTGCTGTGAGTTTCACAAAATCTCAGTATGTCTTGATGTCTTAATTTAAGAAAACATTGTTACATAAAATGTATCATTGGGGGGAAAGGAGAGAACTGATACATTGGACACAGAAATCACTTTGTTCCTAGGAGAGCATCTGTTCTAATGGATTTTACCCCTTTATGAGATAAGAAAATCCCACTACTTCAGTCATGCGATACTTTCCTTAACACTTCAAAACGAGCTTCATGTTCAAATTTCTTTTTTTTTTTTGAGACGGAGTTTCGCTATTGTTACCCAGGCTGGAGTGCAGTGGCGCGATCTCGGCTCACTGCAACCTCTGCCTCCTGGGTTCAGGCAATTCTCCTGCCTCAGCCTCCTGAGTAGCTGGGATTATAGGCACGCGCCACCATGCCCAGCTAATTTTTTGTAGTTTTAGTAGAGACGGGGTTTCACCATGTTGACCAGGATGGTCTCAATCTCTTGACCTCGTGATCCACCCGCCTCGGCCTCCCAAAGTGCTGGGATTACAGGTGTGAGCCACCGCACCCGGCCCCAAAATTTCTTATCTTCAGTTTCAAAGTTCAGTGTCTTCACTGGCTCAGACAATTTCCATACTCAGTTCTTATTTCAAAACCCTTTGAATACATCTACTTCTGGTAGAACTAAGAGTATTCAGGAGATATGAAATTGATCAAATACAGTCTGACAGTCTCTTAATAATTTTTAAATATAGAGTTATATATCTTTAATGGAAAGGACCTTTTAAATGTAGGTAACTAGCTAAAAATCACACAAAGAGTTATTTTTAAATCCATGCCTATCATTTATTCTTATTTTAAAAAGATACAAAAGATCCAAAGATTAAAAAGAAAATGATCATTTTAAAAATAAAAATACATTTTCTATGCTTAATTATCTACCTTTTCGCAATCATATTAGTAAACAGTACCTTAAATATCAAAAATAGCTGCTGGAAGTAAATCTTTAGCAGCTTATGTTTCTGGGGCTATTGATTTCTTTTTTTGTGTGTAGTGATGGTGGGGAGGGCAGGACTCAAGGTCTTAAGTGTTCTTTGTTATAACACATCAATTTCTCTTGATTCTTTAAACTCATAATTGCTTTTCTGCCATTTAGAAGACTGCAAGTTTAAAATACATACTTTTTTTCTAACCCTAACATTTAACTTATTACTGTTTTATCATGTTTGACTTTCATGAGTTCACAATGAGAGATGACTGAGAACAGCTGAGAGTTTAGAAATGGGATATACAGCATTTCACCTCACACTTTAATTCAATCAGTAGGGAACAAAAGTTAAATCTAAACAAGGCTCAAGAGTAATGCATAAAATCTCAGCCGATTTTTTATTGCTCCAACGTCAGTTATGGGGTTGGTAGACTATTTAGGCCTTTTATTCCTATATATATTCTAACGCTACCTTTTCTTTTTTTTTTTTTCTCGCCATTTCAGTATTTATTACTACCTCCCCTAAAAAGGAAACATTAAGCTTTAAAATACAAATCAGTATAACTTTGATACATATTAGTACCTGTCATTTAAAAAAACTAATAACAAAGGGTTGCGATATCATTCACAAATTACAATTATCCATCCTATTGTGATGGATAACTAAAAAGTAGCTATATTGTATCAGTTTATCTTAAACTAAACCCTAGTCAGTCAAGCATACACTTCAACCATCTCCAAATCAGAAATGAAAATACAACCCAGGAATTTCTAATTGTAAGGCATAGTGTAACTCCTGAAAAGTAATGAACTATAAAATTAAAAAAGGATTCAAATGTCAATAACATTTAAGCTACACTATCCAATGGAAGAACAGTGATATTGCCAGACAGCATTTTACATACTAGTTTTTTAAAACACTCTAAATTAATAGATAACAAAAACATAAACCTAAAGATAAGATTTTGAGAGAAACGTTTCTTTACTGATTAGCAAAAAATGTATTTAGTGTGATTCCATGCTAGGAGTTAGGGAAATGTCAACACACATTACCTGTGGTTCTTGCTTTGAGATCTTAAAACTTAATGATTGTTTAGAAACATACTGCATTTGATCAAATTTAAGATATCAATTGTAAGACACTCTTATTTTATGTACCATTAAGGAAAACATACTGCCAATTACAATTGAAAGATACAATTACATGATGCGTCCAAATTTTACAGATGTTAAAATAGAAAAAAATATGGTTCTTAGAATTATGAACTGTAAGAATTACCATATTTATTGATGGTACTTGCCAGCCTAATGAATCTCTGACTATGTCTGGCAGATTTTAAGTGCTAAAGAAATGCTTGTTAAAGAATAGAAAACCAAACACCACATGTTCTCACTCATAAGCGGGAGTTGAACAATCAGAACACATGGACACGGGGAGGGGAACATCAAACACTGGGGCCTGTCAGAGGGTGGGGGGATAGGGGAAGGAAGGATAGCAATAGGAGAAATACCTAATGTAGATGATGGATTGATGGGTATAGCAAACCACCATGGCACATGTATACCTATGTAACAAACCTGCACATTCTGCACATGTATCTCAGAAATTAAAGTATAATAATTTTTAAAAAAGAGAAATGCTTGTTGAATGAATGAATGAATAAGCAAACAGTTAAGTGTTCAAGGGCTCTGTGAACTCTATTCATTAATGACAGTAATGTAACCGCACATTTTCCTTTTATCATAATTAATGTATCAATACACTACCACAGCAAAATTAGAAATTTGAAAAATTTAAAACCCAGGATCCCACCACACAGAAAAATAAATTTCTGTATTTTTTCATGTTCCTGTCTAATTCTTATCTATATACCTCAAGTTTTTTTTAAACTTAAAACCAAGTCTTTAAAACTACTCCTTGAGACTACACAATTAAATTACTAAGCACAAATTATATTCATGAAAAACATGTTCAACAAGGTGAAACATGTTTTAACAAAGACCTATGGTAGACCTTCTAGAATGTTCCATCCTCTCATCCCTTAATTATGAGAACTAAATTTATTATGATAGTCCATAAGTCACTTGGACATTCAAGAAATACTTACGAAGATGCCTAAACCTGAGAATAAGATCAAGAGATGGTTCTTGACCTTCAAGAACTCACAGTCCAACATTACTAAGTGATGCTATAGGGTCTAGATCATGAGTCCTTAGAGAATTTACTTACAACCATCTTAATTTATAAAAATAATTCCCTCTAAACACCTTCTCTTTGAACATCTCTGGGAAAATATTCTCTCGTTCCAGCAGTGGGCTGAAACTACAGCAAAGCTTAATAAAGATTTGTAAAAAATAAATTGTTTTCACAATTCTTATGTCCAACAGCTACAAACTCATTTAATAGTTCTTACTCCTGTGAAATCATTTCAATTAAGTGAAGGTCCCCAAAATTCAAATATTACCTTAAAGGACATAAAAAGTATAGCCCATAAACCTGAACCATAAATCTTCCTATATTCAATGTCTACATAACTACAAAGCACTGAAAAACTAAAAATATTAATAGGACATTATTATGGCAGTACAGGCACCCCAGTGGTTAATTAACTTTCCCACCTAACCTACAAGTACTTTCTAATACATGATAAAACTAAAATACTACGTAATTTCCATGATTCTCTCATAATTTTTTTTATAGTTGGACACAGTAAATAAGGTCTATGCAGCACAATGGTTTGATATATCTCAAGTCTCTTTTATTCTATTGTTTTGTTCTCATCTATTTTTTCCTTGCAATCTTTTTGCTGAAAAAAGTTCTCTCTCTTGCAGAATTCTCAGAGTTCAGATTTTGCTGACTACTTTCCTCTATTGTCACCTAACATGCACCTCTGTACCCTGAATTTTTAGTAAATTGATCGCTAAATCTACAGACTTAATCAGATTCAAATTTGACATTTTAGTAAGACCAT